GCCTTGTAGAGGGATGGTTCTTGCCTTGTAGAGGGATGGTTCTTGCCTTGTAGAGGGATGGTTCTTGCCGGTCCTCCCCTCCTGTGGCCCTAGGGAGGGGGTGGCTATGGGGTGTGTTCTGTCCTGGCCGAGTGCAGTGGCTGAGCTGGGAGCCTGTCAGGAGGCTTAGCTGGATTTGAATTTGTATCCCAGCCTGGGTTCCAGCCCAGAAGGTGGGGCCCTGATGGGCATCACCCACCTTGCTTTTGTGCTGAGGGAAGGATGGAGCCCACTCGGAGCACAGAACAAGGAGAGAAGCTGAAAGCTGAGGTGGGGGGCCAAGGGAGTAGGGGCCCAGCTTCACGATGGCACCTCCTTCCTGTGGAGCCAGGGCCACCTGGGCCAAGGCCCTGTATAGGCAGAGCTTACCAGAAAGGGAAGCCCCTTGAGGCAGCCACTTGGGCTCAGTATCAGACCTGTTCCAGGAGGAGACCTGGGAACCAAGTGGCCTACAGGTGGGCACAGCCAGAGGAGGGGCTGGGAGCCGGGGTGTGGCTGGCAAGGCCGAGTTTGGGTCTCCCTCTGCCTGGGGGGATTCAGCTTCCCCCTGCAGGCCTGATATGAGGGGCTCAGCCCCCTAGCCATTCTTGTCCCAGGGCAGCCCTTGTCTCAGCTCCCAAAGGTGAGCTGGGAGGGGCGGAAAGAACTGGCGAGCAGACCCTTCTTCCCGCCAGGGCCTTCCTCTGGCAGAGCTGTGGTGGAGTGTTTCTGGTTCTGAAGTGCTGATCAAAGACCAGGAGAAGTGGGGAAGGAGGGCTCTTGAGCACAGTGGCTCCCTGGGGCTGTGCATGCGTGTGTGTGCGTGTATGTGTGTATGTGTGTAACCAAGCAACCAGGGTGCTCAGGCCCCTGGGCCTTCTGCCCCAACACTGCAGGCTGCACGGAGCCCAAGCTGGCATATCTGGGTGGGCTGCCTTCGTTCACTCCTCCATCCATTCATTCATGAGCTCCTCGTATGGTCACTCACTTGTTCAGCAGAGCTGTGCTAGCAAGGTTGCCAGGATGGGAGCGAAGATTCTGAGACTAGAATACAGCCTCTGTCCTAAAGGAGCTTCCCATCAGAGAGCTGAGGCTGCTGCGGTTTGGGTGGACAGGCCAGGGCGGGAGCCAGGGCCACGGGTATGGGGACAGAGATGCCTCCTATAATCCCAGATAGGAGCCATTAATGGCCTGGTTCTGAGTGGCTTCTTGGCATGGGGGCCACCTAGGCCCACCAGGCCTGGGGTCCTGCCTGTCCAGGACTTGGTGTCTGCATGGCAGAGCAGAGCGTGGAGGTGCTGTGGGCTTGGGGCTGTGGGCTTGGGCCCTTGCTTCCTCCACTCTGCTCTGGCAGCCCTCAGGCTCCCTACAGTTTGCCAGTGGGAGAGTGAACCAGAGATTCCTTGCTAGGGGGCTCTGCCAGGCTTCTGGAGAGCTTGCTGGTGGAGTGGGTGCATCCCAGCCAGACTCTGGGCTGGAAGAGCGCCTGGGATGGAGGAGGGGGCCGGGAAGGAAGAGCCAGCAGCCTGGGCAGGTGGCTAGGCCAGCCCTTATGGGGTTTGACAAGCAGTTTGCCCCGTAGCCCTGGAGTGTGGTCAGCTCCCTGCGCCCTGGCTCCTTGTGTGTCTGCTACACACAAGGAAGCTACAGGAAATGTAGGTGGCTTTAGGCACAGGGTCATTGGCAGTGGTTGGACAGGAGGGAAACTTGCCTGGAGAGGCACCGTGCTCTGGGGTAACCCCAGGTTCTTGGCTCTGCCCCTTTACCTCTGAGAGCCTCTGGTGTCCCAGCTGGAACAGGGAACGAATCCTTGGCCCCCCACACTCCAGGGCCTCAGAACAAAGAAGGGGCAGCCAGAGATTCAAGGGGCAGGTATGATGCCCATCCAGAGTCCTCCGCTGGCTCCGAGAACAAGGGCTGGGGCGATGTGCAGGCCACAAGCCCCAGCAAGGGTCTATCCCTGCCCCTAGGACACTCCTCCGTCGTGGCTGGCACAGACGAGCCCTGGACAGAATGTTTATTTCGTGGGCTCCAAGTATCAGCTCTGGGCCTAGCCAGCCTTTTTAAGATAACGGTCCCACCATTGTATCAGCTGGGACTTAACTTTTTGGTGCCTCAGTTGCCCCTTCTGTGAAGGGCAGATGATAAACCAATCTCAAGAGGGACCTGAGGTTAACTGTGAGGAGTGCTAAGAAGTACAAATGAGAAGCATTCAGTATGTGGTGGCTGTTTATATTAAGCTTAGAGCCGAACACACAGTACATGGTAATTCAGTGCACCCTTTGGGGAACAGCCTTTCAGAGCCAGTGAAGAAACAAACCCGTTTTCTCAATTTGGGGAGGGGGCGTCACTGCCAGTGGTGTTCGCCTTCCCCAGGTTTTCTCCTGGGTGGGTCTCTGGGGAAGGCTGTGTAGCACTGCCCCCTGTGGTAGGCAAGGGTAATTTCAGGGTCATGTTGGGTGGGAGCGGTCCCAGGAGCCCTGATCCCCTTGCCATCTCGCCACCTCGCAGATCTACCGGAGGTGCTGGCTGGTGTTCCGGAAATCCTCCAGCAAGGGGCCCCAGCGGCTGGAGAAGTATCCCGATGAGAAGTCCGTGTGCCTCCGAGGCTGCCCCAAGGTTAGGGGTCTTGGGCCCTAACTGGCCCAGGCTGTAAGCAGTGATGATTTGCAGAGTCCTGAGGTCTGCGAGCACCCTCCTGGGGGTGGCATAACTTGGGGGGCGGGGGATGAAGTGGGAGGCACTCCAGCCTGGCTTAGTCCCTTGTGGATGCTGTCCCAGGTGACCGAGATCAGCAACGTCAAGTGTGTCACAAGGCTCCCCAAGGAGACCAAAAGGCAGGCGGTGGCCATCATATTCACTGACGACTCGGCGCGTACCTTCACCTGCGACTCAGGTGAGGAGCTGGGGCTGCAGGCTTCCATCCATCCATCCTGCCCCGGGCCAGTCATGGTCCAGCGGTCCAGCCGGGAGGAGGCAGAGCAGGACCAGCCCCGGCTTGGTATGATGTGTTGGGGTGAAAGTAGGGGAGGAAGCAGGTTCCCAGGACAAGGTGAAACAGGCAGGCCGAATCCACTGGCCTTGTCCTCTCTGCCCTGCACAGCGGGACACTTCAGGCTGAGGCAGATAGGGTGGGCTGCTGAGGGACCCTGGGCTGGCACGACGTACCACTTTCTCTAGAGCTGGAGGCAGAGGAATGGTACAAGACGCTGTCCGTGGAGTGTCTGGGTTCACGACTCAACGACATCAGTCTGGGAGAGCCAGACCTCCTGGCCCCAGGAGTGCAGTGTGAGCAGACAGGTGAGGCCTGGTGCTGGCAGGTGGCCGGGAGGAGAGGGGGAGGGAGGAGAGTCCTCCCCTAGGGAGGCTCCAGGCCTGCTCCTTTCCCACTCCAGACCGCTTCAACGTCTTCCTCTTGCCCTGCCCCAACCTGGATGTGTATGGCGAGTGCAAGCTGCAGATCACCCACGAGAACATCTACCTCTGGGACATACACAACCCCCGCGTGAAGCTTGTCTCGTGGCCCCTCTGCTCACTGCGTCGCTATGGCCGGGATGCCACACGCTTTACCTTTGAGGCTGGCCGGTAGGACCCTCTCGCCTCCCCCTACCCTGACCCACTGTGGTCATGTTGTTGGCTGCCATTCACTATGTCCCGCATGGTGCTGGGAGCTTTAGTTCTTTATCAGCGTAGAAAACCAGAAGGGAACCTAAGATTCCCATTTTACAGCTGAAGACATTGAGGCTCACGCCAGCCAGGTCAAGTGCAGCTGTTTACCAAAAGTCAAACTGCTTGTGCTCAAGTCAGAGCTGGTGCTGGTGCTTAGAGGTGTGGACCAAGGCTTCGTTTCTTCACTGTCAAATAGGGGATCATAAAAGTACCCACTCTGTAGAATGATGGTGAGGATTGGGTAACCTAGAGCTTGAACTCTGGAGCCAGCGGGCCCAGACTTAACATTGTGCGTGATCCTCTGTATAACCCGGCTTCGGTTACTGCCCTTCTTGTGTGCCTGTTTACTCATCTGCAAAATGGTTTGAGAAAACTTGGAATAGAGGAAACCGTGCCGGTGCACAGACCAGAGGGTGAGAGAGAAGGCCAAGTGGGCTGAGTCTTATAAAGCACTGAGCTCCTCTGGGACCCAGAAACCGCCAGGCAGGTTGGGGCTGTGTGGACAGCCCCACCTGCTCCCCAGAGGGCACAGGTTGCAGCTAGTGGGTGGTGCCAGAGCGCCCGGCCAAACACGTGTGTAACCCAGTCCCTAACACCTCGCCTTCTGTGCCTCTCGCATGCCTAGGATGTGCGATGCTGGGGAAGGACTGTACACCTTTCAGACCCAGGAAGGGGAACAGATCTACCAACGGGTCCACAGTGCCACCCTGGCCATTGCTGAGCAACACAAGCGTGTCCTGCTAGAGATGGAGAAGAACGTGCGGGTGAGGCTTTGGGTGTCAGCCAGTCTGGGGTGCCAGTGAGGCTGGAGGGTGGGCGTCTAGGAGGGAGCCACGGCCCCCAGAGCTAATGGGAGGGATCCGCCCTTCTCCACCCCACAGCTGCTGAACAAGGGCACAGAACACTACTCGTACCCCTGCACGCCCACCACCATGCTGCCCCGCAGCGCCTATTGGCACCACATCACAGGCTCCCAGAATATTGCCGAGGCCTCTAGTTATGCCGGTGAGTCCCTGTGGGGCCCCCTGCTCCCTGGCCACCAGGATCTGCGGAAGACGGGGGCCCGCTGACCTGCACCCAAGGCCTGAGCCCGCCTCTGTGTCCACAGGTGAGGGGTATGGGGCAGCCCAGGCCAGCTCAGAAACAGACCTCCTCAACCGATTCATCCTGCTAAAGCCAAAGCCCAGCCCGGGGGACAGCAGCGAGGCCAAGACCCCAGCCCAGTGACAGCAGGGCTGGTGCACGGCAAGGACTGCTGTGGGGCCCTGTGGCAGGGCTGCCTGCAGCCTACTGTGGACAGCCTTGTGGGCTGCTGGCCAAGAGCCTGGAGAAACGGAGCAAGCTGTCCTTTCCCTCCTCCTCCCAGGGGTGAGGCTGGACCAAGGCACAGGGCTGGCCACACCAGCAGAGCATGTGCAAGGGGTTGGAGCTACTGTGGGACTATATCCTGTTAATGATTTTAATATATATGGCTTATGACATATTCTATATTAATGAGATCCCCCCCCCCCACCTACACATTTTTTAATCCCATGACCAGGTCCCGGTCAGGCTGTTTTTGAACATGAGGGCAGCTGTTCCTGTCCTCTGTGGGACAGCTCCCCCTTCCCCCCACTGCCCGGATGCGCTGGAGCTGCCGGGGCCTGAGGTGGTAGCCAGCTCTCCCTAGGCAGCCCAGCGGCTACAGCGGCAGGTGGCTTCTCCCTTCCTCTGGGCCTGGAGCAGCAAAGGAAGGATCAGAGCTTCTATGGTGCCACGCGGCAGCCTTGCACTTGGGAGTTTTAAACCGATGACATCTGGTTGACACCTCAGGTGAAAATCTGGTTTTAAAATGTAGTTTTTGCCAAGGCTCCTTCCTGCTTAGTATGCTCAGAAGATACCCCAGGGCCAGGGGTGCTGGTTCCCTCAGCCAGGCGGAGGGTGGCCAGTCCCAAGCTCTTCCCTGCCCGAGGGCTGGCCGGGGAAGGCAGGACTGCTGTGGGGAGCACCCCTGCTGCCCCCTCTCACTGACCGAGGGCAGGCGAGGGCCCAGCCGACGGAGCCCCTCTGCCCAGTTTGGCCACCCTCTGGTCAGCCTAAAGCACTCAGAAACGGAGCCCTTCCCACTTCCTCTTCCCCACATGGTGCTGAGGCTCCCTGCTGAAATGCAATTAAAGCAATTGATTTTCTAGTGCTGGTATTTATTGACTACCTTGCAGAAGGGCTATCTTTATATTGCCATCAAACCTTTGGTTGCGTGTGTGGGTTTTTGTTTTTTAATACTTTTGGGTTCTGATTTGTGGGAATAGACCCTGTTGTAAATAACCACTATTCAAGTTGTGGCAGGACGATCCAGCCAGAGGCCCCTCCTGGAGAGCCCTGGATCTGGGGAGGGGGCCATAGCCAGCTCGGCTCCAAACCTGACCCAGGGAATGACCACCCAAAGGCCTGGGAGAGGGAGGCAGGGCCGGGCTGGCTCAAGTTAGTGGCACGATGACGCATGAAGGAGATTATGTTGTGCTCTTTATTGCCAAAAATAAAAACTTTTAAAAAAGACAACTCCTGTTAATAAATATCCCTTCCTTTCTGTAGCAGGTCTCCGGTTTTCTCCTGGCTTCTCCTTCTAGATGGCCTAATTAATTGCTTTGGGGGTGATTCTACCTCTAGGGCTAAGGGGTCAAGGCCAGACCTCCCTTAAGGCCCTTGCTCCCCAGCCTGTGAACTTAAATAATCAGGCCCCTGGTAGCGAATGCAGACATACAGAGTTTATCTGGGGAGGGGGGCAGCCACAGTCTTAACACCATTTACTGAGGATTCTCAAGTGTGGGCCACTTGGGGGTTTGAGTGAAATGCCTGTAGGCTGGCTTGGGCCAGGAGCTGGACTGATAGCTCCAGCACTCAGTCCTGATGCCAGAAGCCCAAGGTACAATGGTGAGAACTTTTAGAAAGGGGCTAAAGACCTGAAATGACCAGAAGAGGTGAGTCTTACCCTGCAGTTCTCACCCTACCCAGGTATGTCAGGAAACCGGCTGAAGGGGTGGTCTGGGGTGCTGCTGGCAATCAGGGGGCAGGGCCAGGATGCTAATGTCTAGTAAAAACCTGTCTGGACTCAGATACCAGTGGCACCCCGGGGCCATCTATCCACAACGGAGCAAAGCTGGGAGGGGACCCCTCCACCTTCAGCTACTTTCTTAAGGTTACTGATGGCTTGAGTAGCATACGCAACAGCTGTCTACCCCAGAGGCTACAAGTATCTCTGGAGACTGGAGAGCCAGCTGCTGGTCTAGAACCCCTCTTGCTGGAACAGGTGAGCTGCTGCTAGTTTATGGTCAGAACATCACTCTGGATCTCATGGCTTAACTGGGTCTGTAAGTCACTCAGCTTTTTCTTCAATCCAGAGAGGGCTGAGAGGACAATGGTTTCAGGACGCAGAGAGCCACAGGACTCCACATTGTAGTAAAACCTAAGAGGAAGAGTCGGGTTAAGAGCCCTCCATGAGGCAGCCCGGCTAGCCCAAGCTTCAGCCCTGGATCATGCTCTCTCCCTTCTGGGTCCTGACTCCCTTTCAGCCTAGAACGTGGCTTTGGCCCAGAGCTGAATTCCAGCCTCTTCCTAACAGCAGTCCTACTGCACACTAGAGGACTTCAGGAAGGCCAAGCCCCCTCAAAAAGCTTGCTGTTCGCCATTAGAAGACTGGTCTCTTTCTCGCTCTGGGCTGGTCCCTTCTCTGGGGACTGAGTCAGTAGCAGCAGAGTCAGAGTGGCTAACTGGAGGGCTCCTCCGTCCCCCAATGATGAGGGGAGGATAATCTGCCCCGGGACGTGCACATGGCACGGGCTCTGCAGTTCTCCATCCTGCCTCAGCTCCCGGGCACCAGGATGTCTCCCTGGCTCAGGGCCTGCACCAAAACCCTATGTTCTTCCACATTTCACCTTCAGGTGCCAGACGAGGGTCTTACCTCTCTGGCTTGCCATTGGGGTCATAGGGAGCCTGGGACTCATCTTCATCCAGCTCGGAGTACTCGCTCTTCGGCCTGAGATCAAACACGGGTCAGCAGGGGCAGCTACTGAGGCTGCCTGCTGTGAGGCTGCCCCCACCCCACTGCCTCGGAGCCACGTCCACACCAAACCCCCGGAAAGGCCTGCCCTCACTCCCGACGAGAACTTACCACTCCTCGGGCTTGGGGTACACCGTGTGCCGCAGGGCATTGTCAGGATCATATTCAAAAGCCACCCCTGCAGTAGGGTTCCACTTGGCATGCTCCTTGCCAAAGCCCTTTTTGGCATAGGCTCGAAGTCTTAGCTCCTGGCCTTTCCTCAGCTTGACAATGAGGATGTCTGCGGGGAGAGGTGTAAGTCAGCCAAGGGCCAGCAGACACACGGTCCCCTGAGTTTTGACCTGGAATGCCACTGGAAAACCACAGAATCCGGACAAATAGCTCAAGGTCAGCTGACAAGGAGACAAGGCACCGTGAGAGGCTGTGTCAGGTCTGTCTCCGACTGGCCTGCAAAATGACAGGTTAGTAGACATTCGCACGCGCCCTCCAGCCCCTTACCATCCTGTTCCACGTAGTCATTGGGGTCATTATCTCGGTTCCGAGAGGTCACCTAGAGGGAGCCCAAACAGAGGCAGGGGTTAGTGCCTTGTCTTCCCAATCACCTCTTCCAGCAACAATGTTCGAGCACCTGCCACACCAGGCCAGGAGGCCCAGGAAGGGGGGTGGGGGGAGTGCCTCCTAGGGCTAGATCGGTGCTGGGGCTGGACTCTGATCCCCATCTCCAGGCACGGGGAAAACTTTCTCAGTCAAAAAGGTGCCATGGCCTTTAAAAGGGTGCTTGGGGGACACAGGACCCCAACAGTGCTACTGTCCACACTAGCTAGTATCCAGAATTATTAGTACTTTTCAGACCCCAGACTGAGAGGAAAGCAGAGGGTAACAAGGGAAACCGCATCTTGTAACACTGTCCGAGTCTGGCCCACTTGGAGCTCAGAGGAGGAGGACAAAGGTGCTGGGTAAGGAGGATGTGGTGAGACACTAACTGGAATGACCCGGGGGCTGTTGGAGATGAGGTCTCGAGATGTGACGTGACGAGTTTGGTCTTCATTGCACCGCACGTCTAGGGTGAACTCCACTGAGCACTCGGGGCAGAACTCCTCACACGTGCAGTCCTGAGGGAAGAAGAGAAGCTGGAAGGGGTCCATGGAGAGATGGGGAATCCTGAGCTCCCCATTTCTCATACCTGGTTCCTTCCCTTTCTCCATCTATAAAACGGCCGGCCATGGGCTCTAGGCTCTGGTGAGCCATGTCCATCTGGTACACATTCTCAGGGGCTGCTCAATGCAGGCACGTCCCAGTTTAGAGACCACCTATACCTACTGATGCCCACATTCTCCTTCCACCTCTGCCAGCTGCCAGGCAGAGTGCTAACAGCCCACCCTGGCCCCTGGGGTGCTCTTCTACAGAGAATCAAGGCATTGAGAGAATGATGCTTTCATGCATCATAGGACTTCCCCTGAACTAAGTGGACTGACTTGGGCAGGTCACCAGCATTTAAAATAAAATGATCCAGAGCATAACACAAAAAAGTACATTTCAAGTTCTAAACTACTTACCTTTTCTTAAAAACAAAATCTCTCCCTTACGGAAAATTTCAGATTCAAAAGAACAGAGCAAGTATGAAAGGCTACGACCAGGGCGCCTGGGTGGCTCAGTGGGTTAAACCCTCTGCCTTCGGCTCAGGTCATGATCCCGGGGTCCTGGGATCAAACCCCGCATCGGGCTCTCTGCTCAGCAGGGAGCCTGCTTCCTCCTCTCTCTCTCTCTCTGCCTGCCTCTCTGCCTACCTGTGATCTCTGTCAAATAAATAAATAAATCTTAAAAAAAAAAAAAAGAAAGGCTACGACCATGTAACCATCACTGGTTTCAATAATTATCCACAGTTCTTTAAGCAGCTGATGCTGGAAACAACCCATTCCTCTCGCAGGGACCACCACCTACAGTGTAACTTCACGCAAGAAGATTTACTGGAATGTAACTAAGCCAACTGTTCTCCCCCTCACACCAGCAGGAAACTTTAACCTGCTTCTGATGTTTTTGAGATGAGGAGGAAAAACGAGGGGCCACACCTGGATAGTCTGCAGTCATACACAGGTGAGGCAGGAAGGCAACCTAGAGCTTTAGCAGAAATATGAAATGGAGGGGGTACCCAGCTGGCTCAGTCCATGGAGCATGCGACTCTCGATTTTGGGGTCATAAGTTCAAGCTCCACATTTGGTATAAAAATTAAAAAAAAAAAAAAAGGGGGAAGACCCATTAATATGCTGTCTGCGAGACTCATTTCAGAAACAAAGACACCCCCAGATTTAGAGTAAGGGGCTAGAAAACCATTTACCATGCTAATGGACATTGAGAAAAAGCTGGGGTGGCCATCCTTAGACAAATTAGATTTTAAACCAAAGACTAATAAGAGATGAAGAAGGACACTATATCATACTTATTCTTAAAGGTCTATTGAACAAGATCTAACAATTGTAAATATTTTTGCCCCTAACATGGGAGCAGCCAATTACATAAGCCAATTAATAACAAAATCAAAGAAACTCATCAACAATTATACAATAGTAGGAGACTTTAACAACCCCCCTCACTGAAACGGACAGATCATCCAAGCAAAAGATCAACAAGGAAATAAGGGCTTTAAATGACACACTGCACCAGACAAACCTCACATATATTCAGAACATTCCATCCAAAAGCAACAGAATACAAATTCTTCTCTAGTGCACATGGAACATTTTCCAGAATAGATCATATCCTGGGTCACAAATCACGTCTCAACCAGTACCAAAAGACTAGGATCATTCCCTGCATATTTTCAGACCACAATGCTTTGAAACTTGAACTCCATCACAAGCGGAAAGTTGGAAAAAACTCAGATACATAGAGGCTAAAGAGCATCCTACTAAAGAATAAATGGGTCAACCAGGAAATTAAGAATTGAAAAAATTCATGGAAACAAATGAAAATGAAAACACAATTGTTCCAAATCTGTGGGACACAGCAAAGGCAGTCCTGACAGGAAAGTATATAGCGATAGAAGCCTTTCTCAAGAAATGAGAAAGGTCTCAAGTACACAACCTAACCCTACACCTAAAGTAGCTAGAGAATGAACAGCAAATAAAGCCCAAACCGAACAGGAGAAGAGAAATAATAAAGATCAGAGCAGAAATCAATGAAATAGAAACCAAAAGAACAGAACAGATCAGTGAAACGAGCAGCTGGTTCTTTGAAAGAAATAATAACACTGATAAACCCCTGGCCAGACTCATCAAAAAGAAAAGAGAAAGGACTCAAAAAAATAAAATCATGAATGGAGGAGGAGAGATCACAACCAATACCAAAGAAATACAAATAATTATAAGGACATATTAAGAGCAACTATAT